TTTTTTTTTTTGTGGAACCAGGGATTGAACTCAGGCCCTTGTGCTTGCCAGGGAAGCGCTTATTCCACTGAGCCATCTCCCCGCCCCCCAATGCCTAGTTGTTTTTAAGAGATACTTTCTTACCTTTTCACTAGCTGCAGCAGCGTCTTCAAGATCTGAAACTCTGCCTTCACTTTCACTCAAACATTTTTGCAGGCTTGTGATTGAGATTTTAAGTTCCTCTACATTTCTTTGACTCTGCTTCATGAGATCTATTTCTTTCCTGTGTTGCTCATTCAAGGAATCTATCATTTTTCTAATCTCCTCTATTTTTTTTTTTAATCAATGTCTTCTTTAGAGGCAGTTGTTAATTCTTGTACTCCAGAGGTTTTTTTTCCAATTGGGTTTCCTCCATATGTTTCTATATTTGATTCTTTACTTCAGATGCTATGAATTCAGAGTTTTCATTTTTTATTTCAGGAATTAATTCTGCTCTGAGTTCCTGTATTCCTTTCTGCTGTTGTTTCTTTACTTCTGATGCTGTTAATTCATTCATTTCAGCTGAGCTTGTGTCCTCTGCACTTGTTCTGCATGGGCTCAAGGCTTGAGATTGCATTTTGCTCCTTCTGTTTGTCATTTTGTATAGCACTGACCCCTGACCTTTGGTGTAGAGCTTTGGTGCAGTTATCACCTTAGCACCTACTGAAATTTGGGTGCAGATCTATTAAGTTTGAGTTTATCCAGTTATGCCTGGCTTGGATCTAGCTGTTATGTTCAGCTCCTTCCTGCTGCAGCCCTTGGAAGTGAACCTGTTGTGCCCCTCTGGCACAACAGTGAACCTGTGGTGCCCCTCTGTTGTGCCCCTGATCCAGAGGGCACACAGGAGTGGAGAAACTCCCACACACTAGCCGGATCTGGGTTTGGGCTGCATCTGGGGGTCCTGAGAGTGTTGCAGAAGTTCTCACTCACTCAGCAGGATTGGGGGCCGGTTCTTTGGAGGGTTGAAGGCATCCTGAGGGTGTGGCAAAGGGTCTCACTCATGCAGCGTGCCTGAGTTTTGGTCCCGCTGGCCCAGGGAAGCCAGAAGCTCTCCCACACACTCCAAAAAATCATTTATAGTCTCACCATTCTGAGATAAAAGATATTAGCAAAGTTATTGATATTTTCAATTTTTACATATGAATGGCCTTGTGTGGGGACTTATAACAAAATAGGCTAACATATCCAAACTTGCTTTTTCTCCATAATGTTGCAATCAGGCAGATGTTTATGCCATTAAATTATATGCCTAGCTCTAATTTTTCTTTATTTGCAAAAGTCTTACATAAAATTTTCTAGCAATGGACTTCCAAGGCAAAGATTTTCTAAAATTCCCAGGTTTTTGTTATCTACTGCACATAGGCTTGTAAGCAGATGTATGCCCTGGCATCCATTTAGGTAGGAATAATCATGTGCTAAAACTTACAACAGTACTGTGCCTTTTCTTTCTAAATTTAAATGCATGGTTACTTCCCAGTAGGGTTTTTTTTTTTTTTTTTTTTTTTTTTTATGAGAGGGCCTACAGGGTCTATAGGGTCTCATTACGTAAATTGGACTCATAGTGATCCTCCTGTTTTCAGCCTCTCAAGCACTGGAATTAAATGGGGGTGCCACCACACCCAGTCTTTTTAAAATTTTTTTTAAATAATTCTATTGAAAAACAAATAACAATGAGGCAGTTTCAAATCCAATTGCTAGCATAGTTTCAATAATTAATGCATTGTATATTGTTGTCTTAGTGATTATTCATTGTACAAGATGCAGACATGATATCCTGTCCACAAATGCTATTATAACAAATATCTCAATTCATTGCATTAAGAAAATGCAGCTATATATCTATCCTACCTATTTTGAATGTACAGATACAAAATGGCCATTCATTTATATCCTTCTTTTTTGTTTAGTTTTGTCAGAGAGGCGCATTCCATTGTCATTTAAACATTGTAGGTGTGTGAATTCATCAAAATATTCCAATATAGTCCAGTAGTCCATAATAGTGGTGGGTTTTCTGTAAGACTGGTAATGTCAGAAGTTGTTGACTTGAGCCTTTTACAGCTCAGTGTATTAATATGGCGTTACTTTTTATATTTCATTTTTATACTTTTCTGTTAGATTGCTATGACCAAGATAAAGCAAGACCTATATAACAAAAAATGTAATTTTCGTATCTTATAAGGTCAGTCAAATCCCCTCAGCATTTATCCTCTAACCCTGTATTGCACTTTGTAGATCCTTTCTCAGTGTCAGACATGTGGATGAGCCACGGCCATTGCTTGACCAATTTGCTTTCTGTGAAAGCCTGAGAGAATGATTTCTCTCCATGTGACTCTCCCCAGGCACACTATACATCGTCAATCACTTTCCTCTGTGGCCCCATAATCTCCTTGGTCAGAAAATTTGCGACACAACTGACTTACATGATGTTAGAGTACAGGTTCTCCTATGTCCTGAGTCTTCACTGACCTTGAATGCCTAGGGCCAAAATGTTGGCTGTCCTTGCAGCCCTTCTTTTTCTCTAATTTTTGGTCTTCAAACTTAGGTTGTTAACCCTCCAGAAGAGAAGCTTATTATTTTTACCGTACAACATAAGCTGTTGAGCTTAACCTCACTATGTGTCTTAATATCAAACATCTTAGGCACAGCATGAAACAAATATTTTCCATCAAGTATTGATATGTTAAACTTTAAGTCCCTCCAAAATATGAACAAAAGTTAAAAAAAATAAAAACTATAGGAATAAACAGTTGCACAATTTTACACAGAAAATTAGAACTCTATACAGCATTGTATCAAACCAGACCTGTGACATTTTTTTTCTTGTCACTTTTTATCATTCATTACCCTCTTTTTTTAAAAACAAACATTTACTTGAGAGACAGTATGGCAATAATCGGCCTGTCATGACAAGTAGTACATATTTAGAAGACCAGAGTGACAGGCATTCCAAGCATAACCTCACCATTACACATTTCTATCTTCAGTGCAGTTGCTTAGTTCACAGGTATCAGCATATATAGTTAGTCAGGGTGAGAATTCTAACAATTAACTGCTACTTTGCAAAACATACTGAAGATGCTCAGGATTATTGCCTTACCTATCTTGTGTGTATAAATGTATGGCTTTGCCCCTGTCATATTTGCTAGCTTTTCTCCTTGACCTTTGTTCATTCTGTAATCCTCAAGTTTTCACTTTTACTTTTAATTGTGTTATACCTTTGTATTTGTATTTCTTCTTTTGAATTCTTATATTAGGGAGACTATATGATATTTACACATGTGTGTCTGGTTTCTTTCACTTATGAGTATATCTTCAAATGGCATCCACTTAAATATAAAGGTTTCAAGTTTGTCATTCTTTATGGCTGAGTAATACTCCATTGTATAAAAATACCACTTCTTTGTCATCTGTTCCTCAGGTGACTGGAATCTTGATGTTTCCAAGCTTTGACTTTCACAAATTGTGCTGCTATAAACCTAGGTACACATATATCACTTTATATGACGTTTTGTCACTTATATGGCATTTTTAGTTCCTCTGCGAAAATTCCCAATAGGGGAAGAGCCCCTTTGAATGGGATTTCCAGTTCTAGTTTTCTAAGGATCCTCCACACTGATTTCCATAATAGTTGCAGTAGTCTACATTCCCACCAGCAGTGGAGAAGGGTTCCTTTTCCCTCACAGGCTCTCCAATATTTCTTTTTGTTTG